GAAGGTCACTCTAAAATCATAGTTGAAGATATTTACAGTGCATAATAAACAGGTTTTCAAATATTTCTTTATTAAAACAACCAGGTTTAACCATGTTTCTTCTATTATGCTGATCAAAATTGTCTCATTATAACGGACAGATTAGTGGAAGAATATTCGCGAATACTGGCAAACATTGATTGGATTTGCCCCAATCGAATATACAGTTGTGGAATCCCTAGTTCGGTATCCTTCTTCTCTTCTGGACTCAGACCTCATACTTTCTGGATGCTTGTAGAGTACACATTCTACAGCATATCAAGTATTCTTCTTTTACTCAATGAGGGTTTATGACGCTCGGGTTAGAGTAGCCTGTCGTGTCGATGAATCCTCGATCCTTGCTCTCGTTTACTGACTAAGGCAAACTAGTAATAGTTCAAGCATATCAAATGACGTGTTTACATACATGCGTAATAATGGGTGATTGATAAATCAATATTGTAAAACGATACCTTAGGTTGTTAACATGGCGGAATAAAAAGTAGACAGTCATTTCTTACAAATATTTACTACAACCATTACGTTATTGTTAATCATACAACTGAAATGGTACACATAATTCGAAATGTAAAAATCTTGTTCAACTCCTGGACAGGGACATTGTTATTCAGTATGATCGAGTAGACTGCTTATCATTTACACATGCTAAAGATTTGCATGTAGTTAGCTAACTTACGGATATATTTTAGGAAAATGACAACAGTAGACAAAAGTAATCATTTAGTATAATGAAAGACCACAGTTTGTATTAATTAGCGTTGAATATTACACGATATTCAATGCTATATTGTCAGTTTACAGAAATTCAATTGTAGATAAATCAGTGCTCTTCAATCTAACTTCACTTTTTATTATCTAGCAGAACTCCGATCGTTTTCACTAATTATTCTTAAACTATACACTGCTGTCTATCATCCACACTGATATGAATATCGGTCTCATTTTAAAAAAAAAATACGAAATAATATGAAAGATTGAAAATCGATAATTCGAAACATTCCAACTTCTTTGCAAAATTTTCTCCAACTTTTATTCAATTGATTCTAGGAGACATTTCCAATGTCGGTCACTGTTACTTAAACAAAACATGTGATTGTTATGAAACATTTTTGAATGAAAATCGTTGTAATGTTAGAAGCAAATATGTCGGCTTTCAAAATATACGAACATGAATAAGTTTTTCTAGAGTTAGAAAGTGTTATTAAATTCAAGTAAGCAATGATGATTAATTTTCAGTGTAATTTTTTTAATGATTCAAATATCACATAATCGTTAATATATAGAATACACTACGATAGATAAATCAAATAGTTTAAGTCTTTTAAGTTTTATTCATGGCAGACATCTAGGTGAATGACAATTGACATATTGAACAAAGATGCAGCTAACAAACTGACGTTTTAAAAATTACTACTCTATTTACATCATATTGTGGTGTGCAAAGTATCACCAGTCTCGTGACGGTTGATATCGAATATGTTCCTAAACCTCGTAATTCGCTCGTCTAGGCAATCGTCAATTAGTAGCACCTAACGGTCATAAATCAGAGGGCAAACATGAGGGGTTGAATACGTTAATTCTTGCACACACCAATACAACAACAGACCACGGATATTAAACTGACGTGAGAGTGCTGGAAGGCCAGCAAGCAAGCGAGCGAGCGAACGAACGAATCGGCGAATGAACTGAAGTGGAGATGGCTAGCGAGCCAACTCAACTAGACAAAGTATGACTAAGAATTTTTAGTCAGACAAAAATAGGACAGACATGTAACAAGCGAGATAGGCAAGCACACACATGAATAAAATTGACGAATGATTGACAAGGTCAAAAAACAAGTGCGACGAGTCATGTGAACTAGACATTGAATGACTCACTACAACATGATCTGACATAATGGAGTTAAGTTCTGCTAGATAATAAAAAGTGAAGTTAGATTGGAGAGCACTGATTTATCTACGATTGAATTTCTGTAAACTGACAATATAGCATTGAATATCGTGTAAATATTCAACGCTAATTAATACAAACCGTGGTCTTTCATTACACTAAATGGTTACTTTTGTCTACTGTTGTCATTTTTCTAAAATGTACCCGTAAGTTAGGTAGCTCCATTCAAATTTTTAGCATATGTTGATCATAAACAGCCTACCTGATCATACTGAATAACAGTGTCCCTGTTCAAAGGTTGGACAGAATGTTTACATCGACAGTGATACATAATTACGTATGAATGGAAATTCAGCAGTATATATTAATTTTGTTAAGTACTCTTTTTCAACGCAGTTTTTTTAAGCTGAACAAAAGCCTTATATAAGTGATTGTAATTCACCATGAGAAAACTGTGAAAAATTTTTCCGTCTATGGATTAAAGTACTTTGGGAAAGATATGCAGCTAATTGGTAGCCTGCTTATGTAGTACGAAGTTCTAACTAATAGCCTCTGATTGTTTATGTTACATTATATTACAGTATTGAATGTTATTGACCAGACATTAGTTTTAGATTTTTTGGAAACGACTAAAACACTAAAAAATTTCGAATTATGTGTACCATTTCAGTTGTATGATTAGCAATAACGTAATTGTTGTAGTAGATATCTGTAAAGAATTACTGTCTACTTTTTATTCCGTCATGTTAACAACTTTAGGGATTGTTTTACAATATTGATTTATCTATCACCGATTATTACCCATGGATGTAAACACGTCATTTGATATGCTTGAACTATTACGAGTTTACCTTAGTCAGTAAACGAGAGCTAGGATCGAGGATTCAGCGACACGACAGGCTACTCTAACCCGAGCGTCATAAACCCGCATTCAGTAATAGAAGAAGACTTGATATGAAGTAGAAGCTGTATTATACACGAGATCCGAGTCCAGAAGAAAATCAGGATCTCGGACTAAGGATCCTGGTCCGGGTCAGGGTCATAAAACGTTACAGATAATGAGTATTTATAGCATTGGGTCGAATAGGAAACAACATCAAAGTCTGTGACATTGATAGTCAAGACGACCAATGGGGAACAACACTGAAGTACGTGACATTGATAGCTAGGACGACCATAAAAGTGACCAGTAGGAATTGACCAATAAAATTAGACTTCCAAAAATAACTCTCTTAGGATATTGGATGAATAACCCATTTAATATTGTTCAGCATTATTTTGAAAAAAAAAGTATAACATATGTATTACACAATCAACTGTCATCAAAAATTATCTTAATCAATCAAATATTTCAGATTCATCGACTAAAATGTGTTTCTTATTTATTCTGATAAATTTCGAATTTCTATCTTCCCATAAAACGTATTTTGGTGCCAAGAAATTATTGATGTACTTCGATGAGAAAAAAACTGATTAAAAGATATGATAACATCGATTCTTTGGTATTTTATCAACTTTAGGAGTTTGCATTGGTTTTCCCAAAATATTTTTTCAATTTGTACCATTAAAATCTGTGAATATATGTAGATTTGTAATATTAACCTTTTCAAAAAAGTAACCTATCCCAAGTTTAAAATTTTACACTCATTAGAAAGAATTTGAAGTCTTATTGTGTTGAGTGCTTGATTACTTCTGTGGTGAGCGCTACTTATAAGTAGTATATGACGTGAGTGTAAACGTAATGTCTGGCAGCAGAAGATGGGGGAAGATCAAGAAAGGAAGAGTGGGAACACAATGGAATTTGTATGAAACGCATGAATAGTGAAATGTCAGACAATGGATTGAAGATGTGCAAATTAACGGTTACGATATGGTTTTCCTATTTTACTGAGTAACTGTGTAATTTGCGATAAATACAATTGAGTTGCCCTCACCTGTGTTCTCCTTCACTACAGTTCATTTTATTTGATGCTAACATCAAATTTCGTATACTGAAATAAACTGACTAGTCACTTGATACGCTCGTTAAGTGAGATGCTTGAATGCGACTAAGAGTTCATCATACTTAGTAAACGAGAGCGAAGACAAACGATACAGTAACACGATAGGCTACTCTAATCCCAGCGTCCCAAAGCCCCAATAAGTAGAAGAAGTCTTGATATGGCGTAGAAAGTGTATTCTACAAGCATCAGGATAATATGAGTTTGACAAGCGCATAAATGGAGCATATTTATACATGAAAGGAATATCCTTGGGAGAGCCACAAAAATAGCACACTAAAATAATACATCAACCAATGACAGTCAAGGATTTTCCGAATGGGATGGGTAACCTCAAGGTCAACTGCGCGAAAACACAAAATCCAAATTTAGGACCTTTATCAAGTGATCTCACGTTACCAACATCACTTTATACCTGTTTGTGACTTTTGAGACATACATCAGTGAACTCGGAGATCTTATGTCTTCTACTCTTATTCTAAATTTATCAGCTCATATACTCAATCATGTTTCACTTGCCAATTGTCATTTTGATTTGATTGAACTCAGTTGTTCAATGGTTCTTTATATGATATCAATTCATAATATAGTTTTAATTTTTCTAACATCATCTAAATGAATAGTTTGCCTCATTTTAACTCGAAAGTAGGAACGAGTTCTTGATTTCAATTTTTCAAAGAATTCAAATACAATCAAAGGTCAACTAAACTTTTGCTTGTGTTTGTTATTCAAACAAAATTATCAAACAAAAAAGCAGAACAAAGACGTTACAAATCAAAATTGTCTTTTAGTTAACTATTTTTTGAAAGTCAGTCATCACAAAAAAAAATTTCTCAAAGCATTATAAAAAAAGTTTGCAGCTTTTTGATTGGTTCAAACTATTAACCAATCAAATGACAAGTATATATAACAACAATATAAAAAGTTGTTCTAGTTTAAATTAATATGAAAATAAAAATTGTATTACTACTCCACAATGATTTCCTGTTGTAAAATGTTTAGTTCAAATACTTTTTTGTAACCAAAAATAACTTATTTAAAATATCTTAGAAAAGCTAAATTCACCTGTCCATGGAAAGTTTATCATTAATTATTTGTATAATACTAACAATATTTATTTTTCTATGCCTATTTTTATTGATTTTGCATCAACGAACAACAAACTCGAGGACTGTACGTCCTAGTTATGTCAATTCCTCGACAAGATTGATTAAATGTATAAATTTATGTAATCAGTTGTGTAATACCAACGAGAAGCCTCATACACATGATTTTGAAGCTAACGGTAATGTACATCACCAAAGCGATGTGCTCAATAGAATTAATAATCCAACGACAGTAAATGACGTATCTTGTTCACCACCTACACGTAATCATCATTTTCACAAAAATAATTTAACCTATGAAACATGTAATATTATTGGAAATCATGGAATAGTTTGTAAACTTGTCAATAATGAAACGAATGCCAATATTTGTGGCATGTATTCTCAATCATCAATAATAACCGATGATCCGGATCCAATAAATACTGTTTTGATGAAATCTCGCGCAAATCACATTTCAAAAAATCCATTTATACATCAAGCATCTGATTCATCATTTAATTGTAGTTATTTTGATGAAATATCAAATCCATTCAATGAGATTGACAATAGTGCTGAATCAAGTCATGTAAATAGTTTGCTGGATAAAATTCCACAGCATAGAAGAATACAACAATTCAGTAGTAATCATTCACGTAGATTAGATTATAAAAATTCACGAACTAAAATGTTAACAATGAAATATAAAAATTATTTAAATAGAATAAAACAAACTTCTAAATATCATGAACTGCATTCAAAATTACATGGAATTTCTGATATGCAAACAATGTAAGTTTATGATTTTTTTTTATTTATTAAATCTTGTATTTGTATACAAAGAAGTTTAATTGTCATGACAGAAAATGTTATTTTAGAAAAAAAAGATAGGCTTTGAAAAAGATTTAAATTTAAAATATCTGTTTATTGTAAATGAATTAAACCAGATTATAAGATGGAAATCAATCAACGGAAACATCGAAATTTATTGACTTTTGTATGCATCCTTGTAGTGACTGGTACTATGATTGAAATGCTCTTTTTAGATCAAGGAGATGTGATATCTTTAAAGAGCTGTTTATAACATAAAACTTATTATCGCACCGTCTTGTCTTGTAGCCGAATTTCATGAGGTTAAATACATAACACAAATTGGTCTGATTATACATGAAGCAGTGTTAAACAATACTGACCTGTGAATATATATGAATTTATGTACAGACTACTGTTAAATAGACAAAGCGTATGGGTGAGGTCACGCAAAATCCCTAGATCGATCAGAGTTAAACATTAACACCATTGGATGCCGCCCCAGTGGTCCGGTGGTTAGGCGTTCGCACACAATACTGAAGGTCCCTGGTTCGAATCCTGTGAGGTGCGGGAGTCATGGATACGCACTGCCACTGATGAGTCCTCTTACCAGGACGAAACAGCTGTCCAGCGCTTCCAGGTTTCTAATGGTGGTAGTCTAACAATGATTGATTGATGATTTCAAATGTGTAAAAATCTAATAATCATTCACTTAAATCGTTTAGACTTAAAGATATTTTAGGTTTTATGTATTGACAACAGTAATTAAAAGTTTGGCGACTGCCATTTCTTTTTAACATATAATAGTTGTAGGATGTGTGCAGAATGAAAAAATTGTCTTATTCAATATTCAATAGGTACTTATTTGGTTTGTTTGATTACTTAGAGATAAATTGTAAAATCATTTAAAAATCTAATCTATTTACTTCATTATTTCAATAAATGTTTCAAAGAAAGTGTTGTTTAAGTTTACAGCTAATGAGTTTTGAGGTAATACCTATGGGACCATTATTATTATTATTATTATTATTATTATTATAAATGTTTTTCAGAAATTTATTTGTTTATTAAACAAAAATTTCAATTGTTTATTCAAATAAATTGACATCGACTGTGGGAAACAACTAGGTAAATCAATTCAATGGGTTTTTTTTTCTATAGATTGAAACTTTCTACAATTTTCTGATCATTTAAACAATCAAGGCGATCCTTGGTAAAGAAAGATCTAAATTTTAGTTTGTCTTTTCTAGAATGATCTTTTTTCTAGATCATTCTACTTAAAAAGGCAGTGGACTCTTATATGAATGTATAGTGGAAATAATTTAAAACATTTCTGACCATTGATTGATTATTGAACAAAATGGTTCATTTTATTCCAGTCAGTTCCGCATAGATCGATCAATGGTCGCTTAACTCTTATGTGTTGAAACATAGGTGTAGGGTTTTGTTCAATCTTTCAGTCAACTTATTATTTGTACTATTTATACAGTAAGTTTTGAAATGAGTATTCTTGAACCGATAAATTTTATGAAATATTTATATCATTCTATCTATACATAAATGTTATTGAATTTATATGCAGTAAGTAATCCTGTAACAAGCTATAATTCCTAGTGGATAAAGTTTCTGACTTATATTCTATTAACTTAAATATCACAAAACATTTTTAGTGTATGGTTTAAATGATTAATTATTTTTGTATAATTGTGGAAACGTGTTTCTTCAAAGTGATACCCCTTAAAACCTACGTGTCATGTAATTTATACTCTGAAGCCTAATAAAAATGATTAGGCTTTAATATTACCAATCACAAAAATAGTCTGAAGTACATAAAATTAAGGATAGATAACTCATCCTTTCTAATTGAGAGATAAGCAACAATGGGAATTAGTTACTTCGTCATTGTAGGTTAGGTATTTTTTTGTTTATGAGTTATTTTACTTATTTACTCGTGAGACTATTAGAATAGTTAGGAATAACGAAAGCCTAGAATTTGTCTAACAAGGATGGAACTTGTTAAAAATTGCAAAAGTGTTTTTTGATTTGACAAAACTAGTAAGCTGATGTTTAGTCTAAATGAGGATTCTTTATTATGGTGTATCAATCATTTTGAGTATGATCTAATCAAAGATTATCTTATCTTTGTTCGAGTATGTTGTTATCGTATTAGAGCATGATGAGTCAGTCATCTATTGGTTCCCATGTCTAGCGTTAAATCTGTTGGCATTTGTAGATATGATTTATTGAGTAGATTCAGTTTTTAAGAAACCGGGCATTTAGTACTTTGTAATTTTCAATGATTCCTCAGACGAGATAAATTTATTATCTCAAGAGAATCACCATTAATAAAATATAAATGTCAATCAGTCCAATAAATTACTGTCTGTTAGATTATTACAGATGTTTAGTAGTTATAAACTGTCAGAAACGTATTTGCATTATGGGGTTGTGGAGATTGTTGAGTTACTTTTTTGAAATCGTGAATCAATCAATGTGGATGCTCACCGTTGACAAGTCCCATATCAGGACGAAATAGCCGTCCAGTAGTTCGAGAAACTCAAACGTAACTACGTCAAGACAAAGAAAGTAATCACTGTTCTAATGTAAATATATAATAGTTAATTTATTTCTGGTATGAAAATAAACAGCTTGCGAGGATACTTGAGAAGAAATTGAAAATCTTAGGAAAATGTATTCATATATGTAGAACAATATGTGCAAAGTCATGAAAACGTGTATCACTTTATGTGGAGAAATTCATTTTGTAGGTACTGCGTCAAGCTTACCAATCTGTATAAAATAGACAGATTTTATTGAAGCTGCAGAGAAACAAGCTTTAAATAATATGATAGTTTAACTGGCACAAATAACCGAAGTATTCGCATAATAATTATTGATTGATTCATGATTTCGAAAACGTAACTCAACAGTCTCTACAACCCAATAAAGCGAATTACATGTTCTCGCTAGTGACTAGCTGCATGAGAAAGTTTGTCCGAATTCCGGTGAGAAGTCGTGATTGGTGAAGTTCAATCCTGTTCGGATGTGAAGCAGTGCTCATCGAAAACAGCGGATGAGGTTGCTTAAGACCGTGAATTGATCGAAGTTAGACAATATTACCGTTAGATACCGACTCAGTGGTCTACAGGTTAGGCACTCGCATGCAAGATCGAAGGTCTTGGGTTCGAATCCTGCGGGTTGCGCACTGCTGATGAGTCCCATACTAGAACGAAACGGCTTGTGGGTTTCCAATGGTGCTCTAACATTGATTGATTCGTGATTTCAATAAGTAACTCAACAATCTCCAAAACCCCATAATGCAAATATTCCTATAAATTCACAAAATGAGGTTCTATTGCAAATCAGGTAATCGTTAGTTGTGCTGTAATATATTCAGTTTACAAACTACTTGTTCTTCCATGTATTATGGTTTGTTTTTGTACTACCGAATAACTTTGTGATCAGGGTACATTGAAATATTATTTAGTCGATTCGAATTTAATTGTTATCAATATTTCTTTGTTAATTTAATAACAGTGAATGTGTTCCGCAACGAGATCTGGTTAATGCAGACCATGAATCCCCTTGGGTGAAAGCAAATAAAACAATAAACAGCAATTCAAGTACAACAGGCCAAAGTAATCAATCCAGTAAGTCAGTTCATAAAAATTTAGGTTGTGAAAGTATAAGTTGATAAGCCTAATCGTAAAATAAAACTTTCCTTTTGTCTATCTAATTGGGTGTAGCTCTGTTGGTGTTTAATAAGTAAGTTGTTTTTATTATGGGAAGTTTACTGGACTACACAAACTGGATCAGATGTTTGTGGTGGTGGTGGTGTTTGGTTCTCTAAACTGGATGTTTTGGTTGTGGAGATTTCATTGCTGTTCTTTTGAACAACATCATCAACACAAACTCCAGATAGAAGAAGTGAAGTATTCGAATTTCTCCACGTTTGACCTGTAGCTTGTTCTTCTAACCTTGATCTTGATTGGTTGCTGTTGACCTTAAGTCTGTCGTTGATTGCACCTTTGTTTTGATTGTATCCCCCTTTTGATCTATTTATTGATCCTATGTTACTTATGATTGTTCTGATTGGTTGATAAGTTGGGTCAATGTCAATGTGTTTGTTCATTGCTGATTGACCTGAGTGCCAAGCTTCAGAGGTTGCAGTCTGAGAGACAATGTATTATAGTACGTTAAATGTTAACAGAACCATTTATCTTTTACTTGAAGTATGAACTTAGGTATATGTAAATATCATTTTTACGGAAACATATTCTTCACTAATAATAGTTGTTATATTTGTGTGTGGAGTGAGATACTGCTTGCATGCCCACACCAAGTCAGGCAGTTTTCTTGGAAGCAAATTCTTCAAGTCTTTGATCTAATGGTCTTATCCACAGGGCTCTGGGGTAACATTAAGAAAATCCTATCCCATAGCAATAAAAAAAAATGGGCTCAATCTCTGTTTATTCCCTCTAGATCCTAGATCCTATTTCAATTATTGGTTAGATCCACTAATCTTGTCTGCTTCACATCATCTCACCTTGGTAGTGACTTTGGACATGTATGAATTTAATGGTATTTTCAAGAGAACACTCTTCCAACTCTTAACCATAGTAAAGGAATTATTTTTATTGACCTCTGATTATATTTCATTTTCTTCTTCTATCTTTTCATAGTTACATTTCTTTATTTAAGTAAAATATCTACATGAAAAATTCAAAATGAAAGGTATACTTACTCATTGTAGTAAAAAACAAAATATTTCTGTCTATGGTCTACTTTCATAATTAAGTGTAATGATCAAATCACATGGCTGAAACAATCATTTATTCTAATGAACTCTAATCACTGAGACTTACCGATCGATAGACATTTTTCTTATGAACCAAAAAATGCGAGATATCATTTAGTTAAACAAAGATGAAACTAACAAACACTTTATATTATTCAATAACAGAAAATTAAATGTGTGTTATAAATTATAATTATCTGTCATGTTATATATTTTTATCAGTTCTGTTAGTTTTAAACAAATTTAAAATTTTTAAATTTATTGTAAATAAATGTTTCAATTTGAGTTATGCAAATTAGTGTTTTTACACAGTGAAATCAAGAATCAACCATTTTTACACCACTATTAGAAACCTGGAAGCACTGGACGGCCATTTCGTCCTGATATGGGACTCATCAGCAGTGCACATCCTCGACTTCTGCACCTCTCAGGATTCAAACCCGGGACCTTCGGTTTTGAGCACGAACGCCCAACCTCTGGGCCGACATCCCACGGTATGAATGTCTAACTCTAATTGATCTAGAGATTTTGCGCGACCTTGTAGTGTGCCTATAATTGCGTGTTCTTAAGCTCGATTTATAAATCAGAAGATGAATTCCGAGTATCGTACACGTTTATTGTAGCACACCACAATTAATAACAGCAACCACAGACAGACCGGGCAGACAGACTAGCGAGCGAATATGCGACTGTGCGAATGTGCGAATGAATTAATAAGATAAAAATGTTCGTATATATACAAAGGAAAATGTCTGAGTCATCGTGGTATTGAAGAGATTAATATTAAAGCGAATAGGATGCATATATGCGTAGGCGTTAAGCAATGCTCAGTCATACTAGCTCATACAAACCACATAATAAAAAATACCAATTGTACATACAAGTTGTTGCTAAGCGAATGGCTTGGTTAAATAAATTAATCGAAAGGGCTTACCCAAGTTAGATGTGAGAGAAGTGAAATATATGTGGAGGCACTACAATAGCCCCCTTCCAGCAAACGAGGTTACGAAAATGTCTTTGTTTGCGAGAAAAAAAATCAAAATCGTCGGAAAACATCAAAAGTTATGAAAATTAAAGTTACCTTGTCCGAGTACGTTCGTAAGTTCGCATAGTAACAGATCAAAGATACACGGTAAGCGTTTATTGGCAAAACAAAATCGATTTCGAATAGAATACATTAGGAGCAGTTGTACGATAAAAAAAATGTAATACAAATGCTGCAAAATATCTAATATCGTTTAGGCATGACAGTTAGGACGGAATTCGATAATCGCATAGACATTACGGTAAGGCTCATCGATAAATCGAGTGGCTGCACATAGGCGAAGAAATTGCGGTCGAGATTATCGTGGGAAAAATTTGGAGAATAAAGCTGCGTACAGATGCGATGCATGGACATTAAATGCATATCGAAAACATAAGTTACTACCATTGAGTATATGACTCCAAACTTATGTGTATGATAGCGTTGCAAACCGTTGCCAGCGTTGGGGTAGTCGAAAAACATGCTAATATCAGCGTGCAGGAGGTCCGCTCGACTGCTTGAGCTGCTGTTTCGTATGCATGTACGTAAGATCATACCACCAATTTACTTAGCAGGCTGCAAGATTTTCGAGTACGTGCAGCTGACGAGTACATAGAAGATATCTCCAATGCGATAATCGTATAGCCACGGAAATATTAAAGGACAATAATTGTCGTTGAGCCATTGCTTTGATAAGCGATTCGAAACATGATAATGCGATACGACAAAATAAATGGAACGAACTCACCTTAATCATGAACGTCGTTCGTTTTGTCGAAAGAAGTAAAATAATTCCGTGAGTTACAAATGTCCTGCCATGAACAGAATATTCGAAATGCGATTCGATTAGCGATTAAGATAATTCCATTATTGTCATAATATCATGATTCATCATAATAATGGTTCTTTCACATTAATACGATAATGATAGCGATAATTGGATAATTCGAGAAATAGATTAATGCGACAGGTTGGTACATAATCAAAATGACGATAAGATAATGCTTGATTCGTTCAGCTAATGCATTAAGTAGGAGAGCTGCTTTGTCGCTGAATGGCGTCGGGATTTCCAGTTAGCGGTTCTGTTCGATTTGTCCTCGAAATTACCAACTGGTTGGTTATATTCGATTTGTCATCGGAATCGTCGAATTATGTAGTGAGAGTTTACTGATCTTCTGTGAAGACGTATGGACGAATGAATCGAGCGAAGCAAATAGGGAGTGATATGAATGAACGACGGGTTCGACATTTTGTATGGTGGCCGATTTCGCTGACGTCGGGATAACGATTTTGTAGTGCACTGGCGAGCGAATGCACGGAAGAATGATTGCATTCGATTCTACGTCGAAATTACCAATTAATTGGAAGCGTTCGATTTTTCGTCAGCATCAGGAAACATCCTGAGAACGGCGGGATCACCATTATGTAGTGTGCCTATAATTGCGTGTTCTTAAGCTCGATTTATAAATCAGAAGATGAATTCCGAGTATCGTACACGTTTATTGTAGCACACCACAATTAATAACAGCAACCACAGACAGACCGGGCAGACAGACTAGCGAGCGAATATGCGACTGTGCGAATGTGCGAATGAATTAATAAGATAAAAATGTTCGTATATATACAAAGGAAAATGTCTGAGTCATCGTGGTATTGAAGAGATTAATATTAAAGCGAATAGGATGCATATATGCGTAGGCGTTAAGCAATGCTCAGTCATACTAGCTCATACAAACCACATAATAAAAAATACCAATTGTACATACAAGTTGTTGCTAAGCGAATGGCTTGGTTAAATAAATTAATCGAAAGGGCTTACCCAAGTTAGATGTGAGAGAAGTGAAATATATGTGGAGGCACTACAACCTCACCCATTTGTCTTAGGTAGTTACTGCCCACACCTGACAGGATTGAACTGAACGATGAATTGGCCGTCCAGTGCTTCCATTTTTCTAATGGTGGTCTAACAATGATTGATTGATGATTTCAGTGTGTAAATAAATGTGTTTGAAATTATCTATATATGTATACATCTTGTATATTTTAGGTTGTTCGAGTAATCAAGATGATATTCTACTGTCCATTTGTCCAAAAGCACGTGATCCAACCAACATTCTAGCTGATCTGCATGTTCCATTGCATAAAATTATCTTCAACCGTGTAGTTCTGCAAGGTATTAGATATTTTTGTATTATTTATGACACGAACGTGTTTATGAGTTTCTTTTGTTCATTGAACAACTTTTAAAGTTGGTTTATGTGACATGTGATTCCACATCAAGTTAGATCATCTGTGAGTGAGTATACATAGTTGGTTTCATCCGATTAATAATTTTTTTGAGTAAATGAGAAGGAGCTACGTTAGGCTATAAAGAAATCTTATAAACACTCCTGAAATGAAATGTAAAAAGTTTTGAAATGATACATGAAAGTTGAGTTCGTGTATTCAATGATGGGATTACTTATAAATTGAACTTAAACTCAAGCATCACACTGATAGTCTGACCAGACTTAACAAACATCTAGTATTCATTTATTGCCGTACTCAAAACATAGTTGTTCTACTCTTAAGTTTTAGTTGTTGCTGCCTGCAGTCAACTGTTGATTCACATCACAAAACAAAGAGCGAATCATTCAAGAGTATGTAAGGGTAATCATCAGTGAATTCAACATGTAAGCACATCTGTATTTGTGTATTATCTGCTTGTAGTCTTTGGAATTTTCAAGGCTAAATGTTGGGGACGTGAGATTTATAGAACTCACTTGATTCAGGTCCTAAATTTGGATTTTGTGGTTTCGCGCATGAGCTGATCAGCTGACCTTGAGATTATATTTCCCACTCGGAAGATCTTTGACCGTTATAGGTCAATTTATTATTTTAGTATGCTATTTTTGTGGCTCTCCCACGGATGTTTCTCTCATGTATAAACAGTATCTATTTGTGCTCTTGAGATCATTATATTTTCTTGGAGCTTGTAAAATAAACTTTCTACTTCATATCAAGACTTCTTCTTCTACTTAGTGAGGCATTGGGACGCTCGGATTAGAGTAGCCTATTGTGTCACTGGATCATTTGTCTTCAATTTCGTTCAACGACTAAAATGAACTCGTAATAGGTCAAGTATATCAATTTCGATAAATAGTTCGAATATTGGAATAAACCAACACTTGATATAACTCATCCGATTAAATTTTTACAATCCCTAGGCACTGTTATACTTAAGTTTTATACTAATAAGTAAGTACAAGTGAAAAGTGTTATCGATTAATTTTCTCTGACTTACTTGTTTGTACCGGACTTAGAATCAAAGAAATACAGAATATTATTTTCCCCGGTAATATAACATTTGTTAGGTTCAAATAGAATTTGAGAAAGTTTAAAAATAAATAGGACACTATGAATAAATCAGTGTCTGTTCTCAGTAATATATTTTGTAACAATTAAAAATAATACAGTTTATTTCATTTGATGCCAAAGTACAATGTTTTAAATCAGCTGTAAATGTTATTTTATCTACCTGTTAACAGCTTTTCTTTCCCTTCAATTAATTTAGGAACATTTAGTCAATTGTATGAAGGCAAACTTTTGATTTCGTTTCGAAAACATGGTATCTATACAAGTAAATGGAAGCAAGTATTAATCAAAACATTAACTGGTTTGTGTTTGAATTTGATTGAATATTTTGTTTTAAACAATATTTAATCCTAAGCCATATTATTTCAATGACCTTGAAGATAAAAAATTCATTATTTTAAATAGTTTTTTTTGATATTTAAACAATATCACTAAACCTGTAGTGAAGGAGAACACAGGTGAGGGCAACTGAATTGTATTTAACGAAAATTACAAAGTTACTCAGTAAAATAGGAAAACCATATCGTAACCGTTAATTTGCAAATCTTCAATCCATCATCAATCGATTGTCTGACATTTCACTATTCATGCGTTTCATACAAATTCCATTGTGTTCCCACTCTTCTTTTCTTGATCTTCCCCCATCTTCTGTTGCCAGACATTACGTTTATACTCACGTCGTATACTACTTATAAGTAGCGCGCACCACAAACTGAATACAAAAGATGGATTCATGATCTCAGTAATAAACAATAATCTCTACAACTCTATTATTAAAATCCGTACCATTTGCTCACTAGGGACTAGCTTAGAGAGGAAATTCTAAGAGTTCTAGTTAGATGTGACCAGTATGGTCCAACCCAGTCCGGTGTAGGCAGTAAATACGGAAGACAGTTTTGAGGTTGCACGAAATCACTAGACTGATCAGACTTAGACATTACCACCTTTGGATACCCGCCTGCTCTCAGTATTCAAATATTAGGCGTTCGTATGCAAGACCGATCTGAAGGGAAGCACGGTATTCAGTGGACAGTTAGGACGCAGCTGGACGATCTGGACTTCGCAGATGACCTGGCTCTTCTATCGCACACGCAACAACAAATGCAAGAGAAGACGACCAGTATAGTAGCAGCCTCTGCAGCAGGTCTCAACATACATAAAGGAAAAAGCAAAATTCTCCGATGCAACACAACATGCTCCAACCAAATCACTCTTGATGCAGATGCCTTGGAGGACATTAACACCTTTACATATCTCGGCAGCATCATCGACGAGAAAGCTGGATCCGATGCAGATGTGAGGGCGCGGATTGGCAAAACAAGGGTTGCATTTCTACAGTTGAAAAATATCTGGAACTCCAAACAACTTTCAACCAAAACCAAAATCAGGATTTTCAATACAAATATCAAGAGAGTTCAACTGTATGTGGCAGAAACTTGAAGAACTACGCGTAGCCATCATGCATAAGATACAAGTATTCATGAACAGTTGTCTACACAAAATACTTCTGATCCGATGGCCAAACACTATCAGCAACAACCTACTGTGGGAGAGAAAAAGTCAGATTTCAGTGGATGAGGAAATCAGAAAGAAGCGGTGGAAGTGGATAGGACACGCACTACGAAAAGCACACAACTGCGTCACAAGACAAGACCTCACATAGAACCCTCAAGGCAAAAGGAAAAGAGCAAGGCCAAGGAACACATTACATCGAGAAATAGAGAAAGATATGAGAAGAATGAACAAACATTGGATAGAACTGGAAAGGGAATCCCAGGACAGAGTTGGTTCGATAAAACTGGTGGGTGGCCTATGCTCGATTGGGTGTAACAGGCGTAAGTAAGTAAGTATGCAAGACCGAAGGTTCTGATTTCGAATCCTGAGAGTAGCAGGAGTTGTGGATGCGCACAGCTGATTAGTCTCATATCATGAGGGAATGGCCGCCCAGTGATAGTCTATCAATGATTGATTCATGGTTTCAGTGATAAAAAAAGGTTAATATTTAAAAGTCTACTTATCCTTGAAAGAAAATTTATTGAATATTGAATTTACGCTTGAATAATTGCTATTGGAAAATGTTTATTGAATTCTGTGTGTAATTAGTTTTACTTTATCGTTTATAATAAAATTGACGGACTAATGAAAACAGCTCACTTTTTTAGTAATAAAATATTATTGACGTCTATGAAGACTGCAACTATTTGACTTTTGTAAGATGTTACTGATGACAGATGTGGGTGTGTATTACATAAAAACATGGAATAACAGTTAAAAAGGTTTACCATTTATTAAAAAACACTTTCATTTCCTGTGACATAAACGAAATGACTATAAACTATATTTCAAATGATTTCGAAATGAAGAACGATCAATGATTTCGGTTCATCACCTTAATATCACAACAAATTTATGGACTTACTTACTTACTTACTTAGGTTTGTCACCTCCGATAGAGCATAGACCGCCGACTAGCATTCTCTAACCTACTCAGTCCTGGGCCACTCTATCCATTTCTGTTCATTCTTCTCAAGTCTGTCTCCATTTCTCGGCGCAATTTATTCCTTGGCCTTCCTTTTTTCCTTTGTCCTTGAGGACTCCAGGTGAGGGCTTGTCGGGTGCTTCCCGCAATGTGTGTCCTATCCACTTCCAGCTCTTCTTTCTGATTTCCTCCTCCACTGGAATCTGGTTTGTTCTTTCCTACAGTGGGTTGTTGCTGATAGTTTTTGACAAACGAATCCTCAGAATCTTGTGTAGACATCTATTAATAGGTACTTTTATCTTCTGGATGATGGTTTCGTGGTTCTCCAGGTTTCCGTCTCATACAGTAGAACTATCTTGACATTTGCATTGAAAATTGTAACTTTGGTGTTGGTTGTTAATATTTGTATGGCAAAGTCATAGTTTTTCATAAGTGTCAATGGAAGAGAAACCATGAAAGTTTTAACATACACCTGTTATGAATCAAACTGTTTTATCATATCTTTAGTAAAAACTAGAATCATCAAATCCAAATGAAGTTTTTGTAGTTGTGTACAAGAATTTTTCTTTACAATGAAGCATATTTAAAAAAAAACCCAGCAATATGACTTGTATCAGTCAGTCAGTTAGTCAGTCAGATGCAACGTAGAACTTCGTACGTAAGTACGTCAGTTCATGTTGCCATACCACATCAGCACACAGAGATATAATTGTCAATTCAAAACAAATAGTAATAGAGGTAGTAAAGGTATTAAAAGTAATCGGAGAGGTTAGGATTAGAAGATATTATTCAAGAAGTATGATTCAGTGATAATGACTTGTATGCTTGGACTTAAATACGAATACACTGGATTTTGTCGTGATTGTATGTCTCATCAATTAAATTATAAAAACTATGACTTTCTCCCACATTCTTTACAAGTAGAATTATTTCACAAGAATACAACATAAGAAGTAAAGTATGGAAGTCATGAGAAAATTCTGTTAAAGTTTAAATTAGGCATAAATTGAATCTATGTTGAAAAACACATCAGTTATCATTTTTCTCTTTATATATATATATGTAGCCCTACTACACATGTGGTGTGAGCTACTTATAAGTAGTATATGACGTGAGTGTCAACGTAATGTCTGGCAGCGGGAGATGTGGGAAGATCAAGAAAGGAAGAAGAGCGGGAATACGATGGAATTTGTATGAAACGCATGAATAGTGACAATGGATTGATGTTGTTTGCAACAGGAACAGTCCAGTTCCATAGGATGAACTGATATTTTGCAAATGAACAATTTACGATATGGTTTTTCAATTTTACTAACTCTGTAATTTTCGTTAAATACTAATTCGGTTGGCCCATCTGTGTTCTCGTTCACTTACTTACTTACTTACTTACGCCTGTTACCCCCAATGGAGCATAGGCCGCCCACCAGTTTTCTCCAACCAACTCTGTCCTGCGCTTCCCTCTCCAGTTCTCTCCAATGTGTGTTCATTCCTCTCATATCTTTCTCTATTTCTCGGCGTAATGTATTCTTTGGCCTTCCTCTTTTCCTTTTGCCTTGAGGGTTCCATGTGAGGGCTTGTCTCGTGTTCTCGTTCACTACACACATAATTAATATTTTATTTTTATTCCATAGTAATCTCTACTTTTCATATTCTCATATTCTTTTTTTTTTTTTGACTTCAAACAATCAAATAGAAAAAGCCACAACAGAACAAATACGATTATTTCAAAATGATGCTTGTAAATTTGTTGGTGCAAAACATCAACAAGTAGCTTCAATTATTGCAGCATCAAGTACTTCAATTTGTGTTAGTTGTTCTTTATCTGATCAACAAATCATTATTAATCGACCAATTCTTATTTATGCTGATGCTAAATATGGAAATTTAAAGTTGTTCTTACAAAGGCGATCCAATGGATTACAGTGTGGAAACATGAAATCAAATATTGTGAGTACCTGTTTATTCACTTCACGTCAAAAATGAACAAATTTTGCACTAAGTGTCATAAGTACATGAAAGATCTATGAGTACTGAGAGTCGATCGTTAGTTTGCTATACAGTTTACGATCATTACGTGAAACTTAATGCAGCATTTGTCACAAATATGTCATTTATTAATTAATAATAATCTTAAGCGTGTTATCCCTAGTGGAGTGTAGACCATTCTAGTTAGCAGGGTGGTTTTCCGCGGAGTGGGGTCGCCAACTCCATGTCCAACCCTCCTTCTTTATCCGTTCTTGAAACTATCAGTAACCCTAGAAAAGCTCCATCCAGAGTTACTTCTTTAAAGTTGTGTATTGATAGGTGATACTAGGAAATTAGTTTAGACAAACACAGGACATCAACTCAGTCTAGTTTATGCAAGTATGAATCCAGAAAGGCTTTCATTCTATCATTTCAAAGTGTATATCAATGGGTTATTCAGAGGTAATAAATAGTAAACATGAAACAAACTCAACCTCTGTGGTGGTGTTTCGTTCTCTGAGCTGGTTGTTTTGGTTGTGGAGCTTTCATTGCTGTTCTTCTGAACAACATCATCAGCACAAACTTCAGATAGAAGAAGTGAAGCATTTGAATTTCTCCACGTTTGACCTGTAGCTTGTTCTGCTAACCTCAATCTTGATTAGGGTTAGCAGAACAATCATCCACCTGAGCTACAAGTTTTCTCCACCATCTCAAACTCAACCTCTACCTTAAGTAGGTTATCATAATGAGTGACATGTGTTCGTATGGGACATAAATTCTGTGTTTCAATCACTATTAGAATTCTACAATGTTCTACATCACAAAAAAAAGATGAAATCCACTGATTAAATGAACATTTAATTTTTATCTAATATGTATCTCTAAATGTTATATCAAATATTTTCTATAAGTTAGGGGAGATAAAATCTTCAGAAATTGTGTTTAAATGAAGTGTCTATGAATCGTTATCTTTTTAAGTCTATTTCAATAGACTCTACTTCTTGAATAATATCTTCTAATCCTAACCTCTCAGACTACTGCTAATATCTTTACTACCTCTACTACTATTGGATTTGAATTGACAATTACATTTTTGTGTTAATGTGATATGGCAACATGAACTGATGTACTTACGTAGGAAGTTCTAGGTTGCTATTGACAGACTATGATTCACAATATGGGGCATGATTTTTCAAGTTGTACGACCGTAAATTTAATTGATTATTTTGTAAAATGAGTAATTATTGGCTTATAAGTAAGCTTCGATCAACTTTACAATTTAAATTAGCCGTATTTATAAAAAACAAGCAAACTGGGTTATCAAGGTCAACCAAATGTTGCGCTACATATGTGTTATGCTCGCCTTTAGGTATGCTTAAAACTTTTACGGGTTCACCGTAGAAGAACTACGAGAACAAAACCGTGAACCAGCCTCCAGGTAGGCTACTGCGATCTCTTGACCGAATTGAATCAACAAGAAGTCTTGATATAGTGTAGAAATTGTATTCTACAAACACCCGGCCAGCACACAATGAAACCAAGCGCTCAAATCGCGTTTATTTATACCCCATAGAAACGTGCTTGGGACAGAAAAAAAAACAGCACACTAAAATGACACAGTAACCAATCGCAGCTCAGGATTTTTCTGGTGGGAAATGTGGTCTCAAGGTCAACTGATTGGTTCATGAAATAGATCCGAAATAAAGATATTTATCAAGCGAGTTCTGGGGATCTAACATCCTCAACAATTTGACTCAAGTATTATTTATGTATATTCCTGCTAATTAAATGAGTATTAATTTGTGAAGAAAGCACGAACAATAACTAAAGTGGAAAGTGATGGTATACTTTGTCTAGTTTAGGAACGAATAGGAATATTTCTTAATTTCATTAGTGAAACATTTTCTGATTCTTAATTTTATCTGATCACTTTGTTGCGATAGATTTAGTTTCTCTTCTAGTTGGATAATCTTATTTTCACTAACAGAATTTTCAATTAGTTTATTCGTACTTATCACTGTTGTTTTGTAGAATACAAACTGAGGTATGGACTGTAGAATAACTCTGTCTAGGTAGTCTAGGTAGATACGCGCTATTGCCCAGTTGAAACCAAAACAAGGTGATTGGATAAATGACGGTTCTAATATTCATCATAAATATAAATGTACATCATTACCTAAATAAATATTACCACTCAGTTATTCCACCAACAAGTGTTCAATTAATCAAATCAACAGCAACAAATAAATGTTATTCTATCCCTCCTGGATAGATCGAATTCGTTCGACAGATAATATTTGGTTGCTTTATGACACAGAGTGTTTCCAGTTTTGGAAGAGTGCTTCAATTCACAATCAAAATGCACAATTCCAGTCCAAACAAGCAACCGACACAACCAAAAGAGGAACAGATGAATATGGCTGTCGCCATGACTAATTATCAGCTTAACCAACATCAATACAGTTCACAAAGAAACATCGAAACTCAGTGAAGTCAAAAGAAAATACAATTATCATCACCCCAAAATAGAATCGAACAGATTAACAAAATATACAACTGAAGGAATGATCACTAAGAACAAATTACAAATGTATGTATACATGGAGGGATTTTCACAAACAAAAAACCTTCAACAAATGGATCTTACAGTTTTTTTCATCACGTAACCAACTGCTTTTAGCTTTTTGATTTCTGGCCATTTCTGAGTACGCGGGGTATTTGTACTACAGTATACTCATGTCTTCTCACAACAACTTTTCACTACACACGTTTAAGTGAGTATGTTGAACTCACTTTAAAAGTGACATTTAAAAACATTAGCGGACTGAGTCATGTTTTAGATGTAGACTACCTGGTTGGGGTCCACGAGACGAAAGTCACCAATGGTTAGAGACCTTGAACGACATGGCTCAAAATCGTTTGCACTGGTGCAAGTGCATCCATTCGTTGTGCTTTCTCAAATTCTAATCTTCTGGATTTGTCAGCACCTATACCTTTGTCTTTCTAACCTTATCTGACTGAATTATACTTCTTGAATAATATCTTCAAACCCTAGTCTTCTTCATTATCATTAATACCTCTACTATCTCTATCACTATGGGATTTGATTTGACATTCGCGTCTCTGTGCTAATGTGGTATGGCAACATGAACTTATATATATACTTACGAAGTTCTACGTTGCAACTGACTGACTGCTTTGAAAACATTACAGTTTACAAGTAATTGACAAGAACGCAACGATATGCAATGAATTCACACCGTTTCGGTTGAATATTTGTGGATAGCCTTTTCAAGTTAAATAAAACTTGTTGATGAAAGGCCTCATAAGTTGTTTGAGTAAAAAAAAATGAAGGTTTAATTCTTTTAAAAGACTAACAAGAAGTATTTTATCCGTCATAAAGAAAGAAAGATAATTATTTCTGACTAATTTAGTTGATATTATTTTTAAAAATGTTTTGAATATTATTCTATGAAACGTTTTACAGATACTTACTGCAGCTCAACTTATCAATATGGGTTTACAAATTCTTAGTGCAGCAGAATATTTGCACAGTATAAATGTGATTCATGAAGACATTGCAACACGAAATTGTCTGTAAGTTTATTGATTCTTTTACTGCATTTATAAAAATAAATCTTTAAAATATTCTCAATAAAATTAAGTAATTTGTAAACGATTATCAGATGATGGAGAAAACTTGTAGCTCAAGTGGATGAATGTGGTGGTTTGTCGTTCTCTGAGCTGGTTGTTTTGGTTGTGGAGCTTTCATTGCTGTTCTTCTTCTGAACAACATCATCAGCATAAACTTCGAATTTCGAATGCTTCACTTCTGCTATCTGAAGTTTGTGCTGATGATGTTGTTCAGAAGAACAGCAATGAAAGCTCCACAACCAATACAATCAGCTCAGAGAACGAAACACCACCACAAACGATTATCAGGAAGCTTTGGACGTAGATTTCAAGCTACTGTAATAACACAATGTTTCTTCAGTGATTGAAACACGTGTCACACTTTGTCATAGACCACGATGTTACTACTAAGCTAGTGGATTTTCAATTGTCATTTTTGAGATATTCCCGTTCTAAGGTTGTAAGCATTCTATTTTAAGACCAAGTTGCTAGGTAACATAGGTAGCTTAACTACAAGGTCATCACTTGTACTTAACTCAAACGGGAAAATAGGTATCTTCTTTTCTAAGTTTTTAATCTACACTAACCTATAAGTTGGCACAGAGTTTAAAAAGATTTATCCAGTTTACTTGTATCCGCTTAAATATTCAAACATGAACATCTGTGTAGTTAATTAAATTAATTCTTCAACTTATTCAAAGCAGTTCAATCAGAATTTTTGATAATAAATCTACATGAAAATGAGCTAATATTGCGTGACTTAATTCAATGATTAAATCAAACTTTAGGTTAGGATATCAAGAATAGATATCATACTAATTTTAACAAAAATTTAGACAAACAAACACAAAGGATAGATAACTTTATCTTAGAAATAATAAGATTATCAATGATTATTTCTTTCATAGTGGCTGTTTAAAATCTTACCAAATAAGCTTAAGTTTCAGAAGCAGTCACATATTACATACATAGCTAATCATGTACCCTTTCAAAATGGTTTAATTTTTATGCAAGTTGTAATATAAGTCGTTTGAGTTTTCGTAATAATTCAACTGGTGTCTAAAGCTTATTGACAATTATTAAATTAAAACATTCGATCGATAATTTATCAAGTTTGAAATATCTATTGACAAACTCTAAATTTCAAGATAATCACAACTATCAAACTTTACCAAAAAAGGAACATGTTTTGGCTACTTGAAAAATAAAACGACATGGCTTTGTTTAAAATTGAAGACTATTCAAATTTCCCTCCCTGCCTTCCATTTTGAATGTTTGTAATGCTGTTTTTTTTTTGCTTTTCTAAGATTAAAATGTAGAACATGTGTAGCTTTAAGTGATTCTGCACTCAGTAAAGATCTATTCCCGGAAGATTATCATTGTTTAGGTGATAATACAAATCGTCCAGTGAAATGGTTAGCATTGGAAGCATTAGTTGAAAGAAAATATACAATGGCAACAGATGTTTGGTCAGTTGGAGTTACTTTATGGGAGTTGATTACCAGAGGTCAACAACCTTATGCCAGTATAGATGCATTCGAAATGACAACAGCACTAAGAACTGGGTACAGATTGAAAAAACCTCATAATTGTCCAGATGATTTGTGAGTTGTTTTTTTTTACCTGTTTATTCAATTTTTTATTGATAGTGTGTTGTTCGCTTTTATGTAGCAGTTATAAGGATAATTCCAAGATACTTGAAGGTACATTATTTCAAACTAAGGAGGGTGCAAAAGTACACTAACATATAGGATAGCGTAATCAGTTTGCCTCATGTTATGCTTGCCACAGTTGATATGCTTGAACTATTACGAGTTTACCTTAGTCGGTAAACGAGAGCGAAGACAAATGATCCAGTGACATGATAGGCTACTCTAATCCGAGCGTCCCAAGCCCCCACTCACGGTATCAAAAGGTCTTGATATGGAGTAGAGAGTGTAATTCTACAAGCACCCAGAAAATATGAGGTTTTTACAGAAGGAGAAGACGAGCCTAAAACTTTAGAGACAATGCATATTCAGACAGTTAGGTCGACCGTGAATACTAACCAATAGGAAACAACATTTAAAAGTATATCAACTTGATAGGACGACCTTGAATATTGATCAATAGGAATCGACCAATAGAATCAGACTCACAAAATGTTTTCTTTAAGATGTTTGATGAATATTCTAACACTTCATTATGTAGGACAGCATATATTATGGCTGAAAAACCGCATGAATTTAAAAAGCAGGCAGTAATCAGTTTACACAACACAATTAAGAAGTTAAGAAATATTACTGATAACAAAAAATATGTTGCATCAATAAATTGATTCGAAGAAAAGATACAACTTCTTATGTGATATGTTTTCTGAAATCAATGAAACTAATAATTGCCTGTTTTTTTATCAGAAAATTCTTTACTCTAAAGTATTAGGGAAACACGATTGACGTACAGACAGGCAGACAGATACAATGCAGAACTTTGTACGTAAGTACATCAGTTCAGGTCGCCATTCCACATCAGCATAGAGATGCAAATGTCAGTTCGCATCCAAGAGTGATAGCTATAATAGAAGTATTAGCAGTAATGCAGAAGATTAGGCAGCGAAGATATAATTCGAGAAGTATAATTCAGTGAAATAAATGTAGAAGGAGAAAGATAGAGATGATGAGGAATTCAGAAAGTTAGAGATTGACGTACATATAAATTGAATAGAACTGTGATTATTTTTTTCCTAGCTAAAATTTTCAACTATTAGCCATGTGATAGTATGCTTTTTAGGGAATTGAAATAGCTGTTTGTTTAATAAATTACTTGAAAATGATTCCTTTGACTGGTTAAAACGAAATGTTACAGCCTGTAAAAAAAATTCGAACCTAGTTAGAATTTCATCGACATTTATATTACCAGTCTTTTTGTAAGCTAAATACAGGAATAGAACATACTTTGCAAGTTTCATTTGTAATATATAGTTATCTTGTAGTTGTGTTTTTTTTCTGTTAAGCAAACTAAGTATCCTGAATAAATGTTATAGCGGTAAATGGCTTTAGATAGAATGATATTTATTTGAAGTTCTAACATTTATTATTGATGTATTAATCATTTGAAATTATGAATCGATCAATGTTAGACCACCATTAGAAACCCACAAGCATTGGATCGCTGTCCTGTCCTGGTATGAGGTTGATTAGCGATGAACACCCTTGACTCATGTACCTAACAAGATTCGGACCGGGGACCTTCGATCTTGTGAGTGAACACCTAAATTCTGGACCACTGAGCCGGTATCTCACCATGTTAATGTCTAACTTCGATCAATTCACGGTCTTGCGCAACCTCATAAACTGTCTTCTGTAGTTACTCTCTACACACGAACAGGTTGAACTTCACTGGTCATGACTTCCTACTAGAACTTGGAGAAGATTCCCCACGCAGCTAATAACTAGTGAGCACAGTTAGTTGCATTATGGGGTTGTGAATATTGTTAAGTTACACATTTGAACTCATGAATCGATTTCGGGTGTAAACATTAACACCATTAGATACCAGCTCAGTTGTCCAGAGGTTAGGCGTTCACACCCAAGATCGAAGGTCCTGGATTGGAATCCTGCGAGGTGCAGGAGTCGTTGATGCGTACTGCCACTGATGAGTCCCATCCCAGAACCAAACGCCCATCCAGTTCTTCCTGGTTTCTAATAGCGGTCTAAAATTGGTCGATCCATGATTTCAAATGTGTAACTTAACAATCTTCACAACCCCGTAATGCATTGATGTATTGTCCTATATAATTAATATCTGAATAATACTCTATCAAGTATGGAATAATGTCTGTAATGATCATAAATTATGAAGACTACGTAATGTTCAATCATTCACTTTGATATACTTGAAGCTTAGTTTACCAATGAATAGTAAGTGCATCATTATATGTGTAATTACATTAGTGAAGCGGAAAATTAATTTCACTGAATATTCGAAATAATTATCATTTAATCATGGTTTATACGTTTTGGAAGTATACTCAACACTTTGAATCATAAGTAAATAATATCAAAGAAGATGGTTAACACTTTAAAAAATTTACCAACAATATAAGAAAAATGAATTGACTTGAAGTTCTTATAAATCTGGTTATTGTCTATAATTTACTATCCTGTATTTTTCAATATAGAATTATGAAGACTGTTGTTTATGACTGATTAGAGTTAGATATTCACACCGTTGGATGCCGGCCTGTTCAGTGGCCTAGAGTTTAAGCGTTTGCACGCTAGACCGAAGGTCCTAGGTTCAAATTCTGTGAGTAGCAGGAGTTGTGAATGTGCACTGATGATAAGTCCTATACCAAGACGAAACTGAAATCCAGTGCTTCCTAGTTTCTAATGGTGATCTAACAATGACTGATTGATGATTCCAGTAATATCCTGGTTAAAACCTTATTTTTAAAATGTGATTATCTATCTCTGTGTTAATCTCAATAATGTTTAACAAGGATATTAGTTCAACTAATCTACTGAAATGAATATTACAAAATGCTGCTTTCTTCCAGTTCTGATGTAGAGTTCATTTTCAAAATTTTGTCAATATATATATATATATATATATATATATATATATATATATACGTATGTTTGATCATTGAACTTATATATAGTAAAATGTTTTACAGTAAATAACTGAAAAGCTAATAACTAAAGGGTGTTGTAACAAAAATTGACTGTAAGAATTGCAAGATATAATAATTATTTTGATTTGAATAAGACCAACGGTTATCAGAACTCTATCCGAAGTGAAATATTAACTAGTATTGCTCCTCTACATACACTTTTGAGTTCGTTCATATTAAACTGCGTTGAGCCTTTTGATTAATTTATTTAACCAAGCCATTTGTATAGTAACAAGTAATATGTGCTATCGGCTTTTATGATTGTCTGGTTTGTATTGAGCTGGTAAGACTGAACATCGCTTACCAAATACGCGCATACTCCGTCCTATTCACTTTAATGTTAATATTTCGATGACATTTTACGTTGTGTATATTTGAGCATTTTAATCTTAGTAATTAATTCGTCAATTCGCTCACTCGCTTCCTTGTTTGCTTGCTTTTCGCTGTGTGTGCCTGCAGTCTGCTGGTCTAATTGTGGTCAGCTAAATAAACGTATTCAACACTTTGTATTCTGTTGGAGACGTTAGATCGGCAGAACTCGCTTGATAAATGCCTTATTTTGGATTTCACCTTTGCCAGCATGGGCTGATCACTTGACCTTGAGATTCCATTTGCCACCAGCAAAATCCATGGCTGCGAATGACTGCTGTGTATTTTAGCGTGCTATTTTTGTGACTATCCCAAGGACGTTTCTATGATATGTAGAAATGAACGAGAGTTGTGTGCTTAATTGCATTGTGCGTGCTGGGTGTTTGTAGAATATACTTTCTACGCTTTTTGAGATGGTGGAGAAAACTTGTAACTCAGGTGGATGATTTTGGTGGTGTTTCGTTCTCTGAGCTGGTTGTTTTGGTTGTGCAGCTTTCATTGCTGTTCTTCTGAACAACATCATCAGCACAAACTTCAGATAGAAGAAGTGAAGCATTCGAATTTCTCCACGTTTGACCTGTGGCTTGTTCTGCTAACCTCGATCTTGATTGGTTGCTGTTGACCTTAAGTCTGTCGTTGTTTGCAACTTTGTTTTGATTGCATCCCACTTTTGATCTGTTTCTTGATCCTATGTCACTCGTGATTTTTCTGTTTGGTTGATAAATTGGGTCAATGTCGATGTGTTTGTTGATTGCTAATTGACCTGAGTACCATGCTTCTAAAAATTCTCTAGTGCTCTTTGTCCTCCCCTTACCCAGTATTTTCACATTGTTCCAATCAAATGTGTGTCCATAATTGTCGGTGTGTATTGATATAAGTGAAGCGTTATCGTGGCGTTTGACTACTAATTGGTGTTCACGTAAACGGAGATGAAGAGGTCGTCCACTTTGTCCTATGTAGTGTTTTTCACAGTTTGAGCAATTTATTTTGTAGATGATATTTGGTTTTTCTTCCTTTGTCATTTTCTCCTTTGGTCTACATAAGATTGATTGAAGTGATTCTGTTGGTTTGTGTGACACACCTATTCCAAATGGTTTGATTAGTCTTGCTGTATGCTCCGATATGTCTTTGATGTATGGCAGGATGATGCGTTTATTTGTTCCTGTGCTTGATTTCGCTTCTGATGATGGTTTCGGGCGATGTTTTCTGATGAAGTTGCGTGGATAGCCGTTCTTTTGGAAGATAGTCATCAGGTATTTTTCCTCGTTTTTTAATGTTTCGTATGTGCTGCAGTGTGTCTTCGCTCTCTTGAACTGAGTTTGTATGCAGTTGATCTTGTGGGTTCTTGGGTTGTTGCTGTCGTAGTTGAGAATTACGTCGGTGTGGGTTGACTTTCGAAATATTTGAGTTTCTAGTTTTCCTGTACTAGTTCTGGTGATTAGTACATCCAGGAATGATAGACTGTTGTTTGATTCCTTTTCCATCGTGAATTCGATGTCATCAAAGACGTGGGTCCGCTATGTAGACGACACATTCGTTATTATCAAAAGGAATGAGCTGGAGAACATCAAATTCACGATGGAAAAGGAATCAAACAACAGCCTATCATTCCTGGATGTACTAATCACCAAAACTAACACAGAAAAACTAGAAACTCAAGTATTTCGGAAGCCAATCCACACCGACGTAATTCTCAATACACACCGACAATTATGGACACACATTTGATTGGAACAATGTGGAAATACTGGATAGGGGGAGGACAAAGAACACTAGAGAATTTTTAGAAGCATGGTACTCAGGTCAATTAGCAATCAACAAACACATCGACATTGACCCAATTTATCAACCAAACAGAAAAATCACGAGTGACATAGGATCAAGAAACAGATCAAAAAGTGGGATGCAATCAAAACAAAGTTGCAAACAACGACAGACTTAAGGTCAACAGCAACCAATCAAGATCGAGGTTAGCAGAACAAGCCACAGGTCAAACGTGGAGAAATTCGAATACTCTTCACTTCTTCTATCTGAAGTTTGTGCTGATGATGTTGTTCAGAAGAACAGCAATGAAAGCTGCACAACCAAAACAACCAGTTCAGAGAACGAAACACCACCACAGTACTTTCTACACTAATCAAGACTCATTTGCAATTATGTGATCAAGGTAGCCTACCTGGACTCTGGTAATTGTCTCGTTCGCGTTTATCGACTAAGGTGAGCTCGTTATAGCTTCAAGCGTACTTAGTGACGAACCTAACATATTCGCCTTCTGATCTATAAATAGCGAGATGCTATTTAGTGTAACGATTTTCTGGACGAGCAAATTACGAAGTCCAAGGAACACGTCGGATACCGACCGTCACAGAACTATTGAAACATTGGTCACCATAAATTATTAAGTATGTTTTTTATCAATGTAATTTGTGTTAACTTTCCCTCAGATTTTCATTTGAAAGGCAACAAATAAGTAGTACTGAAATGATTCAATGTAATTTCTCAACAATTGAATAATTACGTCATACTATTTATTCAGCCAATGGTTATTTGCGTTTTTTTATTATTACTCAATAGATGGAAAATTATATTTGCCTGTTGGAAAACAAATCCTTCGACTCGACCAACAATTCGTCAACTTATTGCCAAGTTGAAAGCATTTAAAGTTGCAGTAACGAATTATATTTAAATTGGAAGCAAATACTTAGGTATTATTTTATGCAAGAGAAAAGAGCATTGTAATTAAGGTTGTATTTTTGTGTGTTTTAAATATATGTGTATATAAAAATATAATCTCTTTGTATATGTTTGTGTTACGTACGCACGCACGTCAACACATCAATTTGATATGCTTGAATTATGACGAGTTTACCTCAGTCGGTGAACCAGAGCGAGGACCGATGATCCGGCAACACGATAGTCTACTCTAATCCGAGCCTCACATTGAGTAAAAGAAGAAGTAGACTTTATATGAATTAGAACATGTATTCTACAAACATCCAGATAGTACGAGATCCGAGTTCAGGAGAGAATAAGGATCCCGGTCGAATAGGAAACAACATTGAAGTTTGTGACATTGATAGTTAGGGCGACCAATTGGAATTAACCATTAGGGATTGACCAATAGGGTTAGACTTACAAATAATTCTCTTAGGATATTGGATGAATATCCTAACGGTTTGACAATAGAATTTGAAAAAAACTGGATATAAATAAATAGTATCTTTAAACTCCCTAATTATTATGTTTGATAGTAAAGTTGATTTTCAAGATAGTTTTATCAATGATATGGTCTTCTACATACTGTCAAGATTTCGGCTATTCTGACAATATCAGTTGCCTAACTAAAATGTTTATGAGACTACAAGTGTAGTAAACCGTATGATAACTAATACAATTTATTATATTGCGGGGTTGTTGTGAAGATTGTTAAGTTTTATTTGTAACCATGAATCGATCAATGTTAGACCACCATTAGAAACCTGGAAGCACTGGACGGCCGTTTCGTCCTGGTATGGTATGCTGATGAGTCCCATACCAGGACGAAACGGCCGTCCAGTGCTTCCAGGTTTTGAATGGTGGTCTAACATTGATCGATTCATGGTTACAGTTTATTATAACTGAGTACTTTCAAGTTTAGATTAGTGAGTATAAATCTAACGAACATAATAAGTAGACGTTTGTTAATTGAACTATAAATTTATATCAAGGGAATAGGCTTCATTTGAAATATAATCTCTCAACAATTAAACTGAATTTTATTTAATGACAGACAATATTTTATGAGAGAGTAGTAATTTCCATTTCAATATTAAGCTTTATTGTTGGCTATTCAAATTCAGTATTGTATTATTGAAATGATATGTAAATAACTTTGGATAAGTGTATCAATGAATTTATGTCGTTGGTATTAGTCTAAATCTAAAAGTTAAGATAAATGTGTTCACTCTGCTACTAGAAAGAACTTTACTTACTCCCAACGCAGCATACGCTGCCAACCAGTGTTTGCCAACATACTTTGTCCTTGGGCTTCCCTTTCCAGATCTGTCCAATTTTCGTTCGTTCTCCTCATATCTGTTTCCACTTCTCGGCGTATTTTGTTCATTGATCTTCCTCTTTTTCTTTGACTTTGAGAGTTCCAAGTGGGGGGCTTGTCTTTTGACTCAGTTGGATGCATTCCTCAACTTGTGTCCTATCAACTTCCAGTACTTTTTCCTAATTTTTTCGTCCACTTTAATCTTGTTTGTTCGTTACTAGAAGGGTGATTACACAATCCAACGTTTGGCCACTCCTGCAGGCCGTAAATCAGTGTCCAGAAGGAAAAAACAAAAGAAATCTTTACTCCAGTAAGTGTCGAAAACGTAAAAGGAAAACGTATGTGTTGATAGCTTTTCGAACGGTATGAAAACATAATGAAATCCATCCAGTTGGCGATTATTGCTGTTTTATCATCATCCAATCAAATAATTTCAAATCGACATTCTAGAAATTCTACCGAAAGGTGATTGGGTTGGACTTCTTCGACTTCTTGAAAGCCCCTGAACGCTTCTGGTAGCCATCCTAAAAAATGTAAAGTTCGCTTAACGAATGCTACTATCGTATTTGTTTCATATATTATTATTGAAATTATGAATCAATCATTGGTAGACTACCATTAGAGATCCTCAGTACCAGATAGCCGTTTCGTCCTGGTATGGGACTCATCAGTGGCATTGCGCATCCACAACTCCTGCTACTCGTGGAAATCGAACTCAGGGCCTTCAGACATGTATGCGAACGCCTAAACTCTACCGAATCCACGGTGAGCACTGCTTTACACCTGGACAGGGTTAAGCTCCAATGGTTATATCTTCTCACTAGAACTCTGGCAATTTCCTCATGAAGCTAGCCACTAGTTAGGACATTCTACAATTTTTCATTATACAGCTATGAAGTTTGTTATTTATTATTGAAATTATGAGTCATTCATTATTGGACCTACCATTAGAAATCTTGAAACACCGGATGGCTTTTTCATCCTAGTATGGGACTCATTAGCAATGCGCGTCTACAACTCCCACTGCTATAGGCTATAAATATGTAACTTAACTGATCGAGGCCGATTATCATAGTCAAAGTCACTTTAAAGTACTCGGAGTTGATTGTATTAAGAAGTTAAAATTCTCCGATTAAAAAAAAAAGAAAAGCGCAATTCATGAAACAAACCAATTACACAATGAAATGAATTGAAAAATGAAAATTAAACTAACACAAAATGAAATGATGCATGTGACATTTTATCTTTTCACAAAAAAAAAAAAATTAAGATACAGACAACAGAAAATGAATGAGGAACAGTTAGATTTTTAATATGCAAAAAACTATATACATATATATATGAGTATTTTTGTTTAAAGAGAATAACGAAACCGTGTAGGGTATTTCAATTAGTTAAATATGTAAGCGCGCGCACACACTCACGTACACACCAGCATACACACTGGAAGAAAGTATTGCGTCATTTTTGGAAAAAAGTAACTCAAGCTTTTCAAGTGAATTGAATGTTTCGATAAGTTAATTATTTTTCTTGTGAAAAAAACATTCTTTTTTTTCTCCTGGAACAAATTTTCTTGTTGTTATATACTTGTTATCTGTGTTGTAATTGAATTCGCTCCTTAAATTGGTGTTTAAAAAAAGATAATATTTTCTTGAAAATATCTCATAAAAATTATCATCTTATAGATATAATCAGTTTAATTCTACAGGAAAAAAAAGATAGTTTTATTCAAACATTTCATTCATTCATTCATTCATAATTAGGACAGGTCACATGTGTAACTTAACAATTTTCACAAGCCCAGTTTAACTGTGCTCATTAGTGACTAGCTCGATGAGGATTATTCTTCGAGTTCTAGTGGGAAGTCGTCGTGACCAGTGAAGTTCAATCCTGTTCAGGTGTATAGAGTAACTACCGAAGACAGTGTATGAAGTTGTGCAAGAACGGGAATTGATAAAAGTTAGACATGAACACTGTTAGATACTGGCTCAGTGGTCAAGAGGTTAAGCGTTCGCGCGCAAGATCGGATGTCCTGTGTTCGAATCCTGTGAGGTATAGGAGTTGTGGATGCGCACTGCCACTGATGAATCCCATACCAGGACGAAACGGCCGTCCGGTGCTTCCAGGTTTCTAATGGTGATCGAACATTGATCGATTCATAATTTCAAATGCATAATAAGATGTAGACAGAAATGTACGCAACGAAATGTTCAGATTAAAGTAATACATAAGATATCTAAACGATTTAGTAGGTCACAATACTCTAGATTAACATGGACGGTAGGTGAAACAATAGATATTATTTTCATTGTTCTTCTTCTGAACAGCAACATCATCAGAACAAACTTCAGATAGCAGAAGTGAAGTATTCGAAATTTGTGCCGGTGGTGTTGTTCAGAAGAACAGCTATGAAAGCTCCTCAACCAAAACATCCAGCACAGAGAACAAAACACCACCACATTGTTTTCGTTTTAGACATTCGCATTCAAGAATAATTGTGAAAACATGTCAGATGTAAGCATTCATAAATACTGCTGAAGTTAAGTGGTTTTTTAGCTTAAGACTACTGAACTGATATCCTGCATTTCGTGAATTGCCCTAAACCAGTTCATCATATTGTCAACTACTAAGGACTAGACAAGTGTCTAATCTTGTTGGATTTTAAAGGTTGAATAAATTAAGATCAGCTTACGATGTAGACCACGAAATTCAATAATCCTTACAAACGATCAATTTTAACAATTGACAATCATCTTTGATTCTATCGTTTGCGAAATGTTATTGGATGTGATTTTAGTTTGATTAAGTTATTGGTACATTGTCAATCAAATATGAACGCAATGCAGTGACTTTTAATGCCGATAGTCAGTTTGAATTTTTGCAGAATCGAAACTTTCACCGTACAGAACATGCTGCCGTAAATGTATATTGTTAGCTTTTAAAAGGCTTACAAGTTCAAAACTAAATTTAATAAAATAAAACAGCTGTAATTTACAATTACATTGTCTGTTTAATTCTACAAGTGAAAGAACTATACCTCAAGAAGGAAGTTAAATAAATCTGAATTCCGTGTCCACGGATGGATCACGTGATACAAATGAATCATATTATAATCTTCATTATGTGGTTGTGGAGATTGTTGAATTGCTTTTTCAAAGCGTGAATCGACCAACCTTAAACAACCATTAGAAACCTGGATGGCTGTTTTGTCCTGATATGCCACTCATCAGCAATGATCAACCATGACGAATTATTATGCGCTCACTAGTGACTAGAGAATGTTGCTAGAAGTTCAAGTGAGAAGTCTTGATTAGTGAAGTTCAATCCTGTTCGGGTGTGAAGCAGTACTCATCGAAAACAATGGTTGAGATTTCGCAGTACCGTAAATCGATCGAAGCTAGACATTAACAGCGTTAGATACCGGTTAAGTGGTCTAGAGCTTAGGCGTTCGTGCTCAAGACGAAAGGTCCTAGGTTCGAATCCTAAACAAATGCAGGTGTTGTGGATGCGCATTGCTGATGAGTCCCCTACCAGGTCGAGAGAGCCATCCAGTGTTTATGGGTTTCTAACGATGATCTAACACTGATTTATTCATGATTTCATATTCTGTTATAGGCTTTATTATACAAGAAAGGAGAGAGGAGGTGCTGATT